TGTAATTCCTGGCTTTAACTCAGTGCTACTAATTCATCACTTCCATGAGGACTAAGCATCAAGCTAAATCTATCGTACATCATAAACGTAATACACACCATTTTTTTCAGCAAAGGCAATGGCATCTTCTTTAGTAGCGAAAGTAAGAACCATGTTGGATAACGGATCAGCTCTGTAAGAAATCAGATGACAAATTCTAAGAACAGTTGAAATAAAAAATACTTGTATATGTATCTCAAGTGCTAGCCAAAGGCTATATTACACAAGTCATTGTGGTATACCACCTCAAAAGCAGCCTGAATTTCAGCCATTCAAAATCCCTAACATTTTTAATTAGTTCCAGGATTAACATTTACATTGTGGACAATATTGTTTCCACTTTTCAGTTTGTTAAAATTCCCTCCCATCTTTCTGCTGAAATTAATGTTTTAAGTTTTTTTACTCAATAAATATGTCTAACTACCTGCTGAATTTATAATAAATGCACTAAACAATCTTTTTGATTCTGAAATCTGTGTGGACCACTTTCTTTTTGGGTGACTGGGAGGCTTACAGCAATTTTGAACAATTCACGGAGGCCAGAAGTCTGAGAGTAGCTAATGGGAGAATAATCTTATGCAGAAGAGAGAATAGTTTCAAACTGAACAGAGCAGGAATTAATCAAAGACTGAAAAGATGTGAACAAATTCATAGTTCAGATTTGGCTGAAGTCACATGGCCACCAAAAATTATTCCAGTACTTCACTTAGATCTCAGGCCACCGCTGAAAACAAAGTTCAGAAACTCAAACTACTAGCTAAGTAATTACACAGTGGTTATTTTCAAATTATCAGCCATTCTCAACCACATTTCTGAAAGGAAGGAAATAGGCAAAATGCTTTTGGAAACAAATTAAAATTTCAGTAAAAAACTCTCCCTTATTTGTTGGTATAAAAGCTTAACTTAAAAGCAATGACAAAGGTTTAAAAAAGAAGGACTTTAAAAATTAATCCACAGGACTCTTGTAGACTTAAGATAGGGGCCATAGGAATGCAACGATTGCATAATGCTTCCAAGAGCCAGCCACCACACGTGAGCCTGGGAGACAACTGCAAGACAAGACCAAATTGCAACGAACTATTGAAGGAGCTGCCTCTGACTGCTCTCTCTTTGAAGCTATATGGGTAAATGAAGAGAAAAAGCAACCAAAGAAACACTGAACTCTACAATAAAGGACAAAGCCTGTGACTGGCAGAGGGGGAAGGGAAGAGGGGGAATCTAGCTTCCAGCAAAGACAACAATGTAATTTTATCTGATGTACACATGGAAAAATGGAGTTCACTATACATCCAATATATTCCCCAAGAAAAAAAAAAAGAATAACAGGATAAAGGCAGAAATTACACTTTGACATGCCACTGTGATGGGCTTTCTTAAAAACATGTAAAGATTTATCTTACAAAGGCAGTACAGAGAATTAGGGACTATGAATTAGTCCATTGTGTGATCATAGGAGAATCATGCAACCAAGTGCATTGCAATATTGTGACAGCTGTTGCTTATTGGTCATCTCTTCTGTGACTGAGGTTGGAAAAATCTAGTCAACTCACTACTAAGTGGGAAACAAAGAAGTTTCATTTTGATGTGTAGTGAGGAACTTGTACCTCTTCAGTACTGAAAGTTTAGCGAAAAACTTCCACGACAGAGGCAGTTTGGAAATGAGGACTGTGCAGAATTGGTGTGTTCTGCTCTCTGGTAAGATCATCCATCATACAACTTACAGCTTTTTGGTTTCTTTTACATGTGCAATCCATGTATTTAAATTTGAGACAATCTATGAACAAATGCTAGAGTTCAGAACAGCCAGATGCATGTCCTGGTGGTAGTAACAATGCCACAGCATTTCCTATGCTCTAGGCTATCTATCAGAGATTACAAATTGGGATTCTAAATTTTGTTCTTTTTCTGAGATTCTGTACACTGGAAACCATATGATTCCTGCGTTTCTTTGTTTATAGCTTCGTATTAGGAGGTACTCAAGAACTACCCATAAGTATTCTTGTAACCAAAGTTCCCAACTAAAAAAAAAAAAAGCCATGAATCTATTTTATTCAGATCTACAACTGGATAATTAGCATTGCAAAAACTACAACCAAGAAGAGATGACAATGACAAAAAAAAGCACACAAAAAGAGAAATGAGATTGTAAAATCACAGAAATACAGGAAAGACCTATACTAAATAAGCAAGTGTATGGAGTTCAGGAGAAAAGTACTCACCAATAATTATATCACATTATTCAAAAGGAAAGAGTAAATGCAGATTCCCACCCAAAAAATAACTTGTCTAGAGAAGTTAAAGTCAGATGAAAATTAAAGGGGAATTGAGGAAAAGTTCAATTCAACCTGAACTACAAAGCTGGTGTTACTGACACCGGTTACAGTACTCTAATCTGTGCAGGGGTATAAATGGACTGGACACTGGTGGCTACACACTTTGGGAGCTCACAAGACAGAACAGAAAGGTGCATTGCATGTCAACAGCCTATCAGTTAATTTAGGCCACTGTGAAACAACAGCCATTACTTGCTAAACATGGTGGCTACTTGCAGTAGTGGAATCATCCAAGCCGTAACTGTTTTAAAGCACTGAAATCTTATCTTAAACCAGTCATTTTAGTATGCTTAAGATGAGATGGTGAAAAACCCCACAAATTACTTAAGATGAGGTCATTGTTGTATGCAAGCTTGAAGTGTTAAAACAGGTATTTTGACAGGGTATTTCAATACAATTGATATCTTAATTCGTAATTAAGATTTCTTCCTCATCTAGTCACAGTTCATCTTCGCTTCCGTAACTCCTTTGCAATAACAATACAGCCAAGACGTTACAGGTTGTAAGCCTCAATATTTTACGGAAAACCAAAATAATAGGACGACTTGATTCCAGTTATTTTAAACTAATATTTCATGACATTTGTATTAAAAAAAAAATAATAGATCAGTCTGGTCATAGATGTATTTACTACACGTTAGGGAAAAAAAAGTATTCCCAAATTACTTCATATGTAATTATTTACTTATTTTATTTGTCAGAATTTTGTATTCTTTGATTGTAAACGCCATTATGATTGCATCCACACACTTCCAGTACACATTGCATCCATTCTGAAGTTTGAAAGTTAATTTCCAGTGTTTAACTTTTGTTTATGGATAATAATTAACTTTCCTGATAATGCCTCTACAAAACAGCTTCATAACAAGATTCAGTATCATCAGAAAAATTGCTGTCCAGTTTACAGGAATTCTAACCACATTATAAAATGTAGCTAGTACATTTATTTAGAAAAAAAAAAAAAAGTACATCTAAGTTATACTTACATCTCTAAATTGTAGCATTACTCTTTTTCTGGATTTCAGTGTATTTAAGATTTTTTTACTACTCCTAATAGCAACATTGAAACAAACTCATTTTTTTAAAATAATTTGTTAAAAATTAACTGTAGCTCTTCATTTCAGATCTTATATAACTTCATAAAAAAAAATAGAGAAGCTAGATATCATTAGTTTATGTTTAAACAAATTTTAAATTTGGCATGCAACTGACAGTTGAGAAGGGATTCACTGTTTCAGGTACCTAATAGCCTTCTTTTCTTGATGCTGGCATACAGTAACATCATCACAAATGTCATAGTTGAAATTTTTGTTTAACACTTACTGAACAATTCCAGATGATTTCATGAGATAAAATCCGTTTTTACACAATCATTAATCATACAACCAACAAAGTCAACCACTGTAAGCAGTATTAAAGCTAGTGCATTTACAGGTAGGAAGAAAATTTCAGACTTAAAATTTACATGACTAGTAAGAGCCAAATATAGAAGAAAAATATCTGAAAATTCAGTAACTACTCACGTAGACGCCCAACCCATCAGAGGGTTCTCCCAGCGCTCCCTGTTATCAAATTCCATCTTCCATTTCTTCGTGTTGTTAACTCCTGCCTGCATCGCATTACGTGCTGGAACAAAAATGTGAACTTTCCTGGTTTTGATGTGCTCATCTGGAACACCAGTTAAAGAAGTAATATCCTGTGAAAAACACAATTGGACTTGTTAAAAAGGAATTCATGTAAAAGACAGACTTCTAAAATAATACTCCTTATGCTTTTTACACAATTACATTCCTTTTTTTTTTTTTAAATATAATTACAATAAGAGAAGTTCTGCAGAAATGTATGAGTCTACCTTTATAAAGCTGAAGCAGACTCACATTGGGACTGCTCTCATCCTAATTCCCCTGGCTGAATTTGATTTAACATGCATCAGCTACCTGAACCTGCTCTTCTCCTGGCTACACAACTGATAGTGCCAGACGATAGGCAGGAGACATCCCCTCCAAGTCTCAGACTACAGCCGTGACGGTAGGACTGCTCCAGCTTGTACCAGCTAAAGCATCCATAGAAATGTATCATGAACTCTTCTTTCCCCCTTAAACAAAGAATTAGAGCATAAACTGAAGCATCAACAAATCTGGAAATTTTACATTAACATTAGGAGCCTACACTTAATACAAACTGGTCTATTCACCAAGATCCTGGTCAGCCATCTATCTCATGTAGTACAAATGCATATATTTATATATATATATATATATACACACACATTTCTATCTATCTATCTATCTATATATATGCAAACTTAAGCCCAAGTGAACACATTCATATAATCAAGATATATATATAATCAAGAGGCAGCAACACCCAAAATGAATCAAAAAGGTATGCTTAGTATGAAGAAGAAGTTATCTTTTCCACAATACTCTATTCACTGTAGAGGAGGTTACCAGAACTCAGCTCTCTTATTTCTCTAACCATTAATTATTACATAAAGTTGACCTCTCCTCTTTAAAAAATAAGGCCAAGCGTGTTTCTAGCTCTGAATATCTGCTTTGAGAGTCACATCTTCCTGAGACTACTAGTTGATATTCAAGATCAAAAGACCAGTCAGGGCTCTTCATCTGAATTACTAACCCTCTCTCAGAGTGCAGACCTACTCTTTTTTTTTTTTTTTTTTCACTCAAATTCAACATATGCAGATTATAAGGCTACCTAGTTTAGCACTATTAATTCTAGGCCAACAGTAGGGCCTCAGTCTTTTAGGCTGAGTAATAACAACGCTCAACAACCATTGGTGTCAGTTTGAGTACACGTCTTTTAAACAGGTATTATACAGTAATTTGACATTTTTAAAGGGATGTTCTTCACTTACTTGCACCATTTGACACTGGTAACACTCATAGGTATTTTTATGAAGGATAAAAGTATTCAGGAGATTCCACCCTTCACAAAAATGGCTTATAATGTGTTACATTGTCAGAAGTAGGATGCCCTCCTCAACTAAGGTTTGGCTTGTAAGCTTTCTACAAATAAACCTAACAAAGATAAAAACTGAAGTATCACAAAAAAGCCTATTTTTTTTTTATGTTGAAGCTGACTCCAACACAGAGTAAGAAGGAAAAACCTCACTAGAATTGCCACAAAAAAATTACTCTCAGCAGCATCTGATAAAGTGAACTCTCTCTTTAAAAACTAAACAGTAATTACATAAAATTAACCTGTCAGTTCACCCTAGTACAGTAAAGAGAGTGAAATCAAACATCAAATCCTGAACTACTCCTGTTCCTTACATACTTAAAAGGCCAGTGGGAGCTCCTTGGTCTCCCTCCCTCCCCTCCTCTCTCCAGGACCAAGCTGTAAAGTGGTTAAAGTCCAAAAATGAGTAGCAGAACTCTGGGCATATTGAATGCATCACACCAGCAGTGGCATGACTTGAATGAAAAGGCAAACAAGTTTAGACAAAATACTGTGGCTTTACATGTCTGTAGCTACTAACTTTATGGGCTTTTGCTTTGTGGCAAACTTAAAAGCTCTTGGTGCTGTCACCATATAATCCTTTGAAATATGGCAAGTCTCATTTTTTGTTTTACTTCAGAAAATAGACTTTGGGAGATCAATCACTCAAAACTGCAGCAGGGAGCATGTTTAAAGTGTTTGACTTGTATTCGCAATTAGAACAGAAGGCGACACAAACAAACATGTAAACTGATTTTCCAAATTTTAAATTTTCTACCCAGACTACCAAAAGGCAACTGTCAAAATATCTTAACAATTCCATTATAAATGCTTTCATTAGGATCAAGTAATGTTTATTTTTAAAATGAGTCTAGCAATGATATGAAAGACTACCAATCACTGAACTGTTGCAACACACACAAGAAACACCTCCTGACAGACTGGCATTTCTGACTGCTGAAGCTTGAACCACAGTTTCAGAAGGAAATAGCTTCAAGTCTTCTTATTTGAGCTGGCAAACTGCTTTGTTTAACCATTTTTTTTTTTACATGCAGTAAAAGTTTGGTGGGACTTCAATGCCTGTATGTAATGCCTCCAACCTTGCCTTTTATAGACCTGTACAAGTGTATTATCATTTACATCTGTATTTTAACAAACACGTTTCTATTGAGAAAATGTAAGAATATTCCCCAATATTTAATTTTCCCTTCTGAAATCATCTGGATCCTGCTACACTGATAGATTCTGGTTTAGTTAGCAATCAAATACCTCTACATTTGCAAGCTTGAAAATATTACAAAAACTTTTTTTTTTCTTTTTATAAAAAATATTATTTAACACAGCAACTTGTATGTCCATTATGGATTTTATGCTTCAGATTTACAGGTTTGTGAATTGCTTATGAATTCTCTGTGATTAAATACTATACTAACTACCATTATAGACGTATTACATTTTCTCTTTTGAAGCCTCCACACCAGAAACCCATAAAAAAACTACATATTAGTGCATACAGATCACTACTTAAAAAAAAAATATATATTAAAAACCAGCAAATGCTATATATATGAGGTAACTGTGGTAAAGAAATGCCTAGACTTGTTCATCTGGATGAAAACAAAACCAATAACCCAGACAAATCCCAAGCTCCTTCAAGCCATGTTTTTTTGGGAACTTGTTTGGCTCCAAATCAAAGTTATTTTACTAATAATAATAGGATTCATCCCATAAAAAAATCTTTTCAAGGTGAAAGCTAAAACCTGCCTACTTTCAGAAACTAAAATATCTACATGATGTTGCTAGCTCTTCACACTTTGATTCATTATAGCTAAAGTTTCCATGCCTTCTGGGAATCTAGCAATTGTTTATTGATATCTTCCCCATTTTAAAGCTGGCAATTGAACAGACAGTTGTTAGGACAATGAGTTTCTGGTTTCTGAAGCCCAAGTTGTCCTGACATAAAATCACTGTTTTTGCTTGCTGTAGACATGTAAGGTACTGTAGCATAGCTGAGCTGTTGCCAAAGATATGGAATAAAAAGGCTTGGCATCTATCACATACTTGACACCTAAAGAGCACAGAAGCTCTAAAATTCCTATTCCCTGTAGGCGCACTCTTAGTCTAGACAAACTGATTTCTCACACTTTTAAAATGCATTACAACACTCTATTGTGATCATTTCATCCACACAGCTCCAGCTAGTGACAGAAGAACCTGTCCTTTAAGCGACATTTCAATGGGCTAAAGCTCCCGCTCCAAGATTCCATTAAAACAATATAATACTTGAAAAGAACTGTGCTGCACTGGGTTGAACTCTCTACTGTGTCTTCAGAGCTTTGTTCTGAGTTCAAGTTTTCATTGAAACTACCTGTGAACCAACTTTCCAAAACAATGATGTTTTTGACAGCTAGTTTCACACTACTATCTTTTCCTCCTTTTTAAGTGTTCTTTACTGAATTTTGCTCCATTAGCATATAAAAATATTAGTGAGGTGTTCAGCATTACAAATTCTAAATAATAAGGTGATAACATAAAAGACTTCGGATTTGAACTGTATAACTTTGCAGTACTAAAAATTAACAATTCTGCTTCATGTTTGTAATGCATGCTATCATCTAAAAGACGAATTCTGACCGTTTCGTTTTTGGATTATTTATCTATACGGTGTTTCTTTTTTAATAGTAATTTCAATTTTTTTAATAACCATTTGCGGAAATTTGGTTCTTGAAATAAGCTCAGAGAGACGAAGCATTTATTTAAGCAGCAGAAATAACATCAGATTGCTTACAAACCAAGAAGAGTTTGTGTCTTTATTACAACTTACACTACTTAAGAACACTTGTCATGCTGGAAAGGCTGGTAAAGCTGTCCTGGAAGAAGTAATAAAAATGATGGAAGTGCTACATAGGGGGGGGAGAAAAACTCATACACAGGCAGAGTCAATGAAAGCAGGATTCACCATAAAGATAACTTTTAAAGGAAAGGAAAATTTCTGGTAGTGCTCCACTAATAACACAAACTCCAAAGGAGACAAGGAACTGAACTCTGTAATTCAAGGCAAAGACAGAAACGATAGAAAATATCTCTGAAAATAAGTATTTTTGACTGGATGAGTCAGGTGTTTGTAAAGGTATCATATTTCAGCACTGACATTTCTCCCCATGCATAGGCAAAAACTGTACATAACTACTATCAACTATACTGTTTAGCATCCCCCTCTTTTTTTTTTTTTTTTAAATAAAGGAAACAGGGAACAAGCAATGGGAAGTTGATGTCAAAACACAGAAAAACCTCCCAGCAAGCTTCCCGCAACCACCCAGGATTTAGAGTCTTGCTAGCCGCTCTCTTTTCAATACGAGAATTTCACACATTTCAATGACCATTATGACTTCAAAGAATCAAATTTTCATCATTGTCCGTCATCTGCCGGTTGATTTGTATAAAGGAGTTCTTCTGCATGCACTCCGGACAAAGGGCTCCTTACTTTCGTGGCTATATATCAAGTTTAAAAGTTCTGTTTGTGACAGTTGTGTCTGTGGTAAATTAGGGTAACACTGAAGGAGTGCAGCTGCTCGGCAGGAACCTCCTTTTTGGCATCATTTCACTTAAATAAAAACTGAATAATTAGCTTCTGCCTTTATTAAACCGCAAAAATGCCACTGGCCTTAGTAATTACTTCCGGTTGCCCCACCTACTTAACCTCAAGAGTTTACACTTGTTAGAAAGGAGGGAAAGGAGAAGTTTTCTGTACTTTATAGGAGTTCACAGCAGCTTGCTTACTTCCCCACCCCCAACCTGTTTTACCAGCCTAAGTTCATGAAGTTTTGCTATAAATTCACGTTTCACATCGCAATACACTTTCTGTACGAGCTGCTGTATCAAAGCACGAACTGGCTTGCACAATACCCACCAAATAGCAGCTGTGAAAGAGGCTTTTTATTTGGTGGGCTCAGCTGCTTAGGTTGGAACTCAGGATGAGGATATTTACATTTTTACATTTCACTACATTGTTTTTGAAATACGTGCAAGAGAACAAAGTCTACTATGCAAATCGTGAATGGAAAAATGGAGCAGAATGAACTCAACATGGTCAGACAACATTTATCTAACAGCTACAGACATAACAAGGGAAAAAAGCATATTTGCCCTTAGGAAAGTCTGTATCACACAGAATACAGCTTTCTTTCAGGCTTCACAATCTTTCTGCATTATCACAGTAATCTGTGAACATGTGCTACCCGTACTATGTTCTCCCATCTAACCACGCTACAGAACAATTAATAAAAAAGTTGAAAAGCAGTGAAAGAACCACATGAAAACAAACAAATAGAAAACCAAACACCATAAACATGAGACAGAATTCAATAATAACAAAGATGGCAAGAACACTTTTATTTAAAGAAAATCTCTTTACATAGACAGTTTTGCAGAAAACATGGAAGAAAAACTGGGTATAGAGAGAAGAACATGCCAAGAAGTGGGTCTAACAGAAGCAGAAATTGTCACACTGCTGGAATCATCATAAGTTCGTTTAATACTTTTAAATCTACATACTGACATTATGGAAAGGAGGAGTCAGTTTCCAAAAACAGTTCCACAGGCGATGGGACTTCTGAAAATCCAACATGTGTTGTACAAATTTGAATGTGACTTCATAACAATGAGTAGAAAACTTCCCCCTCACCAACCCATCTTTCAATTCTTGAAGCACTTTATTTATAAGCTCTGTTACATTCCCCAACTGTGTATTCACATTTTGTGTCCTGCAAGAGTAATAGAAAAATTGTATTTATAGACGTGATTAATGCTAAAATTTACGTAAAAATCTGCTGAGTTGTGCTTTTGTAAGTTTAAACCATAATGCTTAAAATAAAGACAGAAGTATGAGATTTGGCGTCTCATGGTACCCTGAAAAACCTCAAAGCAGAGTGGAATTTTTCTTGACCATAATGCATGACAAAAATGCAGAAAATACCTACCATTCAGCCTGTACTTTTTTGATGGACAGGTAAACAACATTTCAGAAACTTAAAAATAAAGTATTCAAAACAAAGTCCCACTTCCAGCATAGACAGATATTTCATGCGTAGTATAGGTTTCTTGGCCAAGAAAGAATCAAAGGGCAAGACAAAAGCTATTATTTAATTATTAAGAATGCATTTTTTTCCTGTAACAGTACCTCTTAATTTTACAAATGTTGTCTGAGTAAATGTCATGAAACTAAAGAAAACAGAAATCAAGTATCTAATTTTACATTTCACAGTTAGTCTATAACATACACGACTGTAATTAAGAAAATCATTATTAGACAGAAGTACAGGTGATCAGGGGAGGAAAAAGAATATCTTTCTATGAAATATATTGATATTGCTACTGTTAGCCCTCTAAGAGGCTTCAGAGTGTCATGACATTCTTTAGATTGAGGAAATTATAAACCACGTGCTTATCTTTAATGAGGCAGGAAAAAAGCCTCTTGAGTTATTTATAGCATATCTTGTAAACTACTTTTTCTCACAACAAAGTAAGATTTAGATAGCACATATTACCTAGAACTCATTCAAAGCATATGTAAAAGCAAACCTTACGCTTCCACACACACAAGTGGCTGACTCCTTTACTGTCACTACCTGTAAGGCATTTAAAAATATATGTGTTTCTAGTCAATCCTCAGATTAATAAAAGGGCAAAAAAATAAGAAAACAGAGGAGTTTTTAGACCATAAATGTTCAAATAAAAGGAAAGGCATTTTTAGTTCACCTGCATTTAAAAAAGCTTCCAGTGTGTATGTAGTTTTGACAATGGACAACCAAATCCCCAGTCAGCAGCTCAGTGACATTAGGAATACTTTCTGTACTTTTTGTATGTTTCTGATGCTATTTTAGTGAAGTCCTTATTTTTAACATTCATTAAAAGTTACCTGTATTTATGTGTATGTATTTACAAAATAAATCATAAGTGTATGACCTATTTAATCAAGTTTCCGTTTTCTAGAAATTCCACGATTAACAGGGAAATGAATGGTTCTACCTGCTTTGGGCCTACCTGAAAACCCTACAAAACCTCACATTAAGAAATTTTCCAAATAAGGCCCTGGTAGAGCCCCCAGATACTCACACCGCTTATCATCTCCAGCCTTTGGAGGGGACAGGGTCTATTTAATATATGTAAGATGTGTGGTCAGTGTGCCTTCTCCAGTTTTGTGGAAAAGCTCACAGTTCAAGCTGCAAAAGACTCGAGGGAACACAGCATTCAGAGACTGACAGTGAACTGGGACACTACTCACATATAAGCTGTGCAATTGCTGCAGTGATGCAGAACACCTGTGCTTTTATTGAGACAATTCATAATCTAGACAGCAAAAACCTGAGCTGTTGAGTTCAAATTTGGATACATGGCAAAATTTTAAGACTTGGTAACTCTAGTAAGATTTCTTATGATGAAGTTGTAAGTAACATCATCACTACAGTATTTGAAACAGCTACTGTGGATTCAGTTTAAGTAGCTATCAATCAGCCAAAGCTGGTAGCTAGAGCACAGAATGCTACAATATTTTTAAAGAACTCCATTACTGTGCATTCCAGTGTTCTTTTCCTTTCACCTCCCAACTACCTATTTACTCTGTCATTAGGGGTAATTGTGGAACGCTGTTTAACTTGAAGGGTTAAAATCTTACAAGCTATTTAGGCTTTTATTAAAAAAATATCTTCATCAAAGATGGGGGAAGGGTGGAGCAAAAAGTAGCATTTTCAAGTTTAATTTGACAATACTGTCACAGTACTGCATGGTCTGCTACTAAGAACAACATCCTGAAATCCTGAGTTCATGTAAACCGATGCCTGCCTCCATTGTGATGCATGTTCTCTATTCTTTACACCTCCTTTATAATTAAAGTGATTTCTGTAACAGATCTTTGTCACAAAGTAGCCAGTGGTATGGGGCACACAGGAGAAAAACAGAAAGCACAAATCCCCAATCAAGAAATGCAAATTTAGAGCAAGATCACTGCCGGTGCATGCTTTTTAGAAGTTGCATTTAAGAAGTTACAAGGAAGCGAGACTGTTAAAAGCTGTCCCTAATGCAAGATGCAATGCTTCTATGTAATATGCATGGACTTGAAAGCGGGTGCTAAATAGTGTACACGATTTCCATACACAGCAGGTAGTGAAGCAAGAAAAGAAGAGACACAGTTACCCTTGTTAAAGAGATGCACAATAGGGAACTGTTATGCAGTGTTAGCATACTGAAGGTCCATGCATCAGGGATGCTGTGGCTATTAACAGCTTAAATGTTCACTGTATTTTGTTAATTAGTGCACATAGCTTTTAAGCCTTCCATGTGTTTTAGGAGGATCTTTTCTAACAGTAACACATTCATTATTCCCTGGTAGGTTCATGAGGCCTCAACTGTTTAATCATAATCCATAAATACGTGGCTGCATTCCACTGGACAATAGCTATTTCTTTAAATTTACCTATATGGCTAAAATGGAAGCTTTCTACAATCTCTGTAAAAAGCAGAATCACAGATAGAATGTGTTAAGTGTTATTTTACAAGCTGTTTTTAGCTTGCTCTATCTAGATGTTTCTTGCTGCAATTTGTGCTTTGGCTTTTATATACTTGGCCTTAAAGGTTACTTACAGGACAGAAACCATGGTCTTGTACTTTCTAATATAATAGAGAAACCTGTCATGAAGATAAAAAAAAATAGGTATTCAAATACAGTAATTCAACTTGATCCACTACAGCTTTCCTTTTCGGTTTTCTATTACTGTGGGGAAAAAAATCAAAGGAGACTACAATGCACTATTATGTTTACTAAACAGTGATAAAATAGTAAGAAATTGTTTTGGAAACAGAAGATGTTATTCAACTTCTGACTTATCAGACAGCTAGAATTATTTGACCCAAGAATGCTTTCAAATGGAGTAGGCACGGTGGCAAAAATGTGGTCACTTAAGAAAGAATAAAAACCAGAAGAATAAAGAATAAAATTATACAAGCTAATAGTTAACAGGATTAAAATTATTTCCCATCAAGCAAAGATATTCCTTTACACAAAGTATAAATGGTTGGGCTTTATGGAATGAATAGCACTGAGTATGTCAAGACCAAACAAGAGATTGAGAACCTCCCTACAATGCATGCAAGACTTCACAACACAAGAACTAATAAACTCTGTGGTCTGAACATCAGTTGCTCTCTCCATGGTCCATGTCCTCACTTAACACAGTTTAACATTCCTGATTTAAGAAAGCAACCCCTAAAGTAGTTTAAAGGCACACAACAAGCTGTCCTGGAAGAACATCATTTTCCATTTCATCATTGATCATCTTAGTAGAAATGGGTAGTTGTTAAAAAGCACCAAGCTCTTCTGCAGTATGCCCAATCCTATGGGATTACTGGTCTGCAACTTTCCCTTTCAGACAAGGAAAGCTTTTTCTTTCTGACTAATAAAACAATTCAGCTTGAACTTCAAGACTAGAAACCGCTTTCAAGTCTGTACATAGAATTTTCTCAGACAGTAAGCAGAATACGTGTCTTATCTATCTAAATTTGGATTTACTACACAAACGAGGAAAGAGACATTTTAGTGGACAGAAAAACAAGGTCTCTACAAGGACTTGTTTATTCACTACTCCTCACAAGACAAAAAGAATTCATGTCATCTACAGAAATATTCAATAACAGGGGATACTAACTTTAGCATTCTAGACAAGGCCAGGATAACGGCATTGTTTATGAGAACATGAAAGTATGACCTAGTCTTTAAAAATCAGAAATACAAAACAAAACTGTTCCAAAAATGAAGTTACTTCTTACTCCTCTTGATTACTAGACTGTATCAACAGCTTACTTTTATTCTTTCTAGCAGATTAGAAACACTGCTTGCATATTTAGACTTACAAAACCAAACAAGTATTTGCATGTTGAATAACCCCTTAGAAACCAGACAAACTAAACATGATATACTCCTTTTATTTTTCTGAACAGCCACTGTAGCAAGCACTTCAGAACAAGTATTCCTTGATAGAAAATAAAAATACTGTGTAATGAAACAAAAAAATCGCTTGCATACTCTTCAAGCAGACATATTCTTTGACCCAGTGCTTCCAGACTAAAGCCCTGAAATTTTTGCACAAGAATGCTGCATGAAGGAAGTCCAGACAAAACAGACACTCGAGATGTTAGGAGGTTGTGTAAGCTCAATCTCAGTCACTCCTCCTTCCAATACCCAGCAGAGACAGCACTACCATCCACCAGAAGAAAAGGCTCTCAGAGGAAGAAATCCAGATCATTTACCCTATCCTAAAACTAAACAAACATATACAGGGATAAGTGTGCAACTGCAGCTCATTGATAAAACTATGCAGCACTTCACATTAGGTTCAAGGCCATGTGCAAAATGTAAAGTTTTCTGTATTAAAAAAAATATATATATATACACACACACATACATCCTATAAGTGTTCAGAAGGAACAGGAGGCTGCTTCATCTTGAGGAGTAACTTGTTGCCTGCAGACATTCTTACAGAAAGCTGTCTATCAGTATCCAGCCAGCCAGGTTTTCCAAACCATCGTAAGCTTCATCAAACTACAATTGCTTACAAAAACAAGTTGTAGCAAGCAGTACAGGCAAAACTAAGATAGGATATTCCAATTATTTAATTACAAAACATACTGAATTAGCAGTGCTGAAAATGTGTAAATGGCTAGATAATCTGTAGCTCCACACACACCCCCTACACCTGAGCTTGTACTGTACTGAAAACCAAATGCAACTACCAGTCAAAACTACAAAAGAAACTGACATGTTATTTAAACTGAGTATCACTGTTTAGAAATAAACAGTGCTCTGGTAGACACACCAGCATGGTGTAAGCAAAGTGAGAAGGATTATCACCATCCCCAAAACCATTAAAACCTTTAAATATTAAACATCACATCAACAGCTTGACAAAATCATCCAAGACAGTCTTTTTCTCCCCAGGGCAGAATTTGTTAATCTTCACTGAAAAAAAAAAGGAAATAGAAAAATGTTTTTAAAGATAATGTTTTCCAGTAAAAAATGCACACACACAAACTATTAGTGATCCTAAAAAGAGTAAAAGTGTTTAACTCAGCTTAAGTCCACACTTAAATTAGACACAATTCAGGTAGATGAGTACGTATTTTTACTTGCAAACATTTAAAGTTTTGAATATTTCATTTATATTGAAAGAATTCATTTAATTTTGAAGTACTTCTAGAACATGACTTAATATCTTAAACATCTTCTGCAATGGCAACTAATACCATTGAAGTGTCAAACATCACAGATACAGATGACTAAATGTAAACTAAACACAATGCATTGAATATGAAGTGAAACAAGACAAAACACACCGTATTAAACATTTTCTGTACCAGCACCAAACCACTCTTCATCCATTCTGAATCCCGAGTACAATATAGAATTCAAATAACCTGCCCACCTGCTTATGTGACAACTGTGATGGAATAAAGTACCTCTTCAAGCTACGGGACATACACGAGGCCATTCTGGCCAAAGTATAAGGCACACAAAATTTTTTGAAGTTACATTCCTCATCTAAAGAGGAACACTATCCTAAACTGAATTCTTTATGGTAACCAGTTGAATAAATATTGCAGTTAGAGAGGATTAAATGAAGAAAAGTTTATTCTAAATTTTTTCATCCTGTTAAAATGCTTTATGAACAGCTTCAACTAACCCTCAAGGAATCACCCACAAGGGGTTAACAGAATTTTGGAAAACCAAAACATAGAATATCCATGATACCCTTATTATCTAACACAGTGGTAATGCTTGGAGAATTCTTGGCTGAATAGTAGTTTCAAGAAAAGGAAATCTAGTAAGCCTGTCTTTAATAAATGGATGCTTTGCCAAGTATTTCTCTTCACTGAGTTGCAAAAACAGCTCCTATAAGCAGTCTTCAAATGCAATGTCTCACTGTCTTGCACGTAACTTTATGACACATTACTGCCTTGTTTTTCAGAGTGCAGTATATTGTATACTCTTGGTTCTTGGGAAAGGCTGATAGGAACAATCACACTTCAAAAAGCATGTTAAAGCTTAATTTGCTGTGTCCTTTGTTTCACAGCACTGTAGACTATCAGATTGATATCCAAAGAAGTTTCATCATTCCAGGCTATTTTTCACTTGTTTGTATATTTTATTTTGAGCTGCAGTATTATTCCTGTTTATTATAGTATACATACAGTCCACACTTCACTCTTCAAACTGAGATCATACAATTTCACTACATTCCAAGCCTCGCCAAAACTGGGATTTGGATGAAGGTGAACAAACCATGACTCAATCCTGAAAACACCGTGTGATGTTTGCTAATACTGCAGTCTTGTAGAAAAAATGGACTAGAGTGTTTCCTCAACTAGTTATTGAAAGTCCATGCATACTTTTTTTCCCTGAAGAGGTTTGTGTTCCGAGAACCCTACTAATACTGCTACTCCTGGATTATCCCGTAGTAAACACTTACAACAGACACTAACTGTTGTTACCTATGGACAGCCAAGAGGAAGCTGCTAAGACTCTTGATCCCCATTTCACAATAGTTACTAAACAGTTTTGGCCTAGGCTGCTGCAGAATGCAGCACTGACTGCTAGTCATGAACATGATCTGGAAAGTATGAACTGCTGATCTCCAAAAAAGGGTCAGATTTTCTGTGCCAAATTCAACATATACTGCAGCATGCAAGGTATTGTCAATGACAGCTACATATAAGTTTGTCTACAATCAGAAGAAAACTGTCCCTCTATTGATTTTCAGATATGAGACTTCTGAACTACTGCTGAAAAAGCTTAATTAACAGTATTGACAAAGTTTAGCAGTTTCAGGACAGCAGCTGAAGTGTCAATAGAATTATTGTGGTTAGCCTGCCATGCTTGTGATATAGCCTACACATTCCCAAATGCTGCAAAAATCACTTTAGTACCATGTCAATTGCACTTGACACTGCTGTTCTCAAATGCTTAGTTCTGTGTAGCAACCCATCCTATTTCATCTTGGCCTAATGCAGAATAAAAACATCTGTGAGATGGCTGCAACTAATATCTGATCCTTAACCACTGTTCGACAATGTTTCTAGCATCTCCCCAGTGACCAAACTCTACAACTGTGCTTGCATTCATTTTTGCTTTGTGTCACTACATGTGTGTTACTTACTGGTGGAGTATCCTACTTTTGAGATGCATGAGATATCTTCTGCCACTTACTCTAATTTCAAAATACTCTTGCAACACTTAACCATTACAGAAAAGTTATTTTAGTGGCAAATATTAGGGGAGTATTTGGTATGGCACCTGCCCTATGCAGACAGCTACTCCACAAGTGTGTCTAGCCTCTACAGACTCTTTGCTAGACAACCACAATGCAGCGTCACCTGTGCTGACTGGGAACCTGCTTAAAGCACATATGCTGGACTTCTTCTAGCTAATACCAATAGCACCGTAATTATAACGACTGAAACAAATCATGGTAATTTTGAAGAGTTTTATCCCAGTTTTAGGCAAAACCACCGAAGCCTGATGTAACAATCATGAACACTAAATTATTCCATACACACAAACAGTTAAGCTGTTTGTAACATTACCTGAGGGAGATATGCTGCCAGCAGCCTTTGTCCTCTATAGCCCAAATTTCCTAACACAAGCAGGGTCTTGAGAGACTACTTTTCACCCAGCTATTTGTCCAGACTCTTGGAATATGACCTAATCGGTGGCCAGAGATTCAAAATATGATGCAAGAACTGTATTTTTGTTTAGCTTTGTTCAATTTGTATTACTTTCTTTGGATTTTACTGTCCATAAGTTTTACTCAACATTCACAGAAAACGACTAATACTTGTGACAAAAACATCATTTCTTGCATTAGTTATATGTAAGTGGAACATTTAACTCCTTTTACATTTAAAAGCCCCGCTTTCTTCTGACATCCACAATTTAGACCACCTTCATTTTTCACTATTTCATTAGAGCTCATTCTTCTGTTGTATTCAACACATGCTGGGCTGCAGCAAGAAGGCAACTGACTACTGCTTAATAATTCAGTGTTACAATACTCTTCCCCCTCCAATTTCATTTGAGTTTACCAAGACAAGGAATGTTTTAGTACTTTCAGATTCAAACTGGACTTTAGGTAATTCAAAGGAATCCACATTGATCAAGTTCTAGCAAGTGTACACACACGTAGGAATACAAGGCCCATAGAAGTACTGGGAACTCAATTACAACAGGCAATTAGGCTCTTTTAATAACCATAATAATGTTACTATATATATTAACCTTGCAAGCATCTACTCATGAAGGAGTTCAGTTTCAAAATAAAGAGTTTTAAAAGGAATACAGAAAATAGATAACCCCAACCCATTTTCCACCTGTTCTTGCTGCTCCTTTCTGATGTGCACAGAAAAGCCACCTGTAAGGTGATGTCAGACTATATCTAAATATACACATTAAACCGTATAAACGTTATTCTAATTTGACATCATTTTGTTTCAGGCCCCACAAGAGTCTGGGGAAAAGGATTTGTGCATCTAGAATGCGTGCCTACATGCACAGTACTGTAGGAAAATACTATTCAGTCTGACATTTAACTTAATGCTGGAAAGAACTGAGGATAAAAAGATCATTTAGTTTATATGTACCAAAAGCTGACAAGCAAACAGTAGTATTGAGCAAAATGATTCAATGGCTGCTAGTATCAGATCTGAAAAAAAAAAAAAAGCAAATCAACAACTACGTAAAGAGTGCCTTCAACTTGATGAGAACACATAATGACATTAGAAATAGCCACCTCATTTACGATTCATTTACATTAGCACTGAGAGAACAGAACAGTTGTATTTTGAATTAGTATCACTAGCTCAACTGAAGGGATAAACTCTCATAGTTAGACAGGGAAATGAAAAACCCTGACTTAGAATAATGTACATTTAAATACAAAACAGAAGATATAAGAGTGTTTATTTTGCAGGTCTGTCTTTGGACTGCAGTCTCTTTCAGACCTATGTATCTATCCATCACCTGAGGTTACATTAGGGAAATGTGACACTGTAAATTCAGGCATTATCAAAATGCTATTTAGATATTTTTTTAGTATTAAAGAACAGTGCTAGAATAAACAAACACAACTCATAATATGTTTAGGGAAATGTAGGTCTATTGAGTTGGTGCATCTTATTTACATAGTGACTCATGAACTCTTATACATTAAATGAAATTTCCTGAACCCCAAACTATGAAATTAGGTAAGCAAATAACCACCCTCACTGAAATACAGTATTATTTTTCTTCCCTTATTTGTGTACCTGACATGATATTACTAATTTTTAAATTAAAAAAAAAAAGTATATAAGAAAGCTGAATGCACAGGCAGGTAAAAAAAAAAATCTCTCTACATCTGTGTTAGAAAATGTTAGAAATAAAAGCTCTAAAGAGTTGCTATAATAGGTGCATTTTTTCCTAATAATCTGTTAAAGTTGAGATGTCTCCACTAGTAGTTATCATTACAAATGTTCAATTTATAAATACAAATCCCAAATATTTCCTCTTGTTCTTAAGTAGTTAACATAGCTTCAGGGATACAAGAGAGCAGATAAATATGAACTGTCTGGTACATATGATGGGATTTTTTTTTTCCTGAGGATTCAAAAGCAGTATGAAAACCAATGAAAAGCATGCTTTTGCTGTGACGCATTCCCTCCAGAAGTCTTACAAAAATTATACTATTGAATAATGTAAACATAAGTGTCAGGTTGCATCTAGAGTAACAGACCACACATTATGGAAGAACTTACAAGAAAAGATTGCCAAATTTCTGATCTGCTACTGATTAGCAGAAGAATGTTATGCATTTGTTCCTAGTTGTAATATAACCTTCATGCATATTCAAAAGCTAGAGTATATGTACATAGTAACAATAACCTTGCATGCTTCTTTATACACTTTCTTTAGTAATATGGGTCCTAATGATGATAATTTTAGGAAGCTGGCAAATCCTGTATGATTTCACTACGGAGAAAAATATCCAGATTTCAAAAACAGCAAATTTGTTATAAATTACAGTTCATACTAGTCCTTGACCACAATGCAATAATAAACAAAGTACTCATCATTTTATATTGCTTAATACTTGGAATGCCATATTTCCTTCACATACTTGTTTTACTAATGCTGCTTTTTAAAAAATGTATGAAGGATTTTTGCTTTGTAGTTCACATTTGTATGGCTTTCCTAGAAGAGCGGAGAATACCATACTGAATGCCTATTGTGCAGAAATAACCCTGAAGGCTGTATCATAGCAGTATGCAGTAGAAAACCCTTACCAATTTTTCATCAACTGTGATGAGTTGCGTGTCTCGAGTTTGGTTCTGTGCCAGCCGCCATGTGGAAGTGCTCAGTGACCTGCGGTGCAAGACTTGAAGTTAAAAAATGATTCATGCAATGAGAAAATAGAGGCAGACAAATCTTACATAAACAAGTTACTTTAACAATATCCGTCTTGTAAAAAAAATGGAAGAGGGAGAGATGAGGGCACAAAAATCCTTTTTCTCCCCAATTAGTTCTGTCTGCTGAGTTTTTGGCAGACTCCCACTTAGCAGTTCACAACAGGCTGCACTTTATGTCAGCCTACAGGCTCTCTGTCACAGAGAGACTGCCAGTGGCAAGGACTGTACTGCTCTATATGAATGTACAGTAGCTGGTTTGTCACGAACAGACAGAAAAATACAAGGCTGCTGCAAGCATTCTGGAACTCTGATCCTTAAAATGATGGCATCAGAGGAAAAAAATCTTAAACCTCTTTGTAATGGGAAAGCTCCAGTTCTAGGCTTCAACAACAGAATATTAACTTTTTTTTTTTAAAGGAAAAAAATAATAAACTGATAATTCAAATACAATTTTTTTTTATCTCTGAGTGGGCAAAGCTCACAATTATTTTGCTGCACTCCTGAATCAGTACGGGCCAGCTTATTAGCTTCCAAGAAATATGATTAATCTTTCTGCATAATTGCTAAACCTGCAAAGTGAAGATGGAAATATGGAACCCAATCCCCCACCACTGAATTGAGAAACAAAATTTGTCATCAATTTGCATTATGTCACTGATGTCAGGATAAGGCCTTTTGAGTGCAAATCATCTTTTGGCAAAATAACTCAACAGCAAGTGAAACAAGCCAGAAAGCACAATTCTCTGAGTTAGTAGTGTGCTTCACATTTAATTAAGGTCACTTTAAACAAACGAGGCACAATAGTGCAAGAATACAAATAACTGAACAGTAAGAGGGGCTAAGCCACTTTAGTTTCAACTGTTCTTCAGATTACCAGACTTGGGAAACAAGACATACTTGCAAATGCAAATGAACTTTCTCTATGGGATGCTTACAACTGTACTTCTAGTAATTTAATACTACTGATAACATTTACCTCTCTTTTGAGGAAACCATCCACAATTGCCTCCACAAAAAACTCCACAGCTTTTGAAGCAGAATTCCAAGACACTAAAAAATCTGCAATACTATCAAAATTCAATGTCTCCCCACTTCACATTCAATAATTTGAAGGGCATATTGGGATGAGGTAACTTGCACGCAGTCATTCAAAACCTGAAAAATTACAACAGTGTACTTTACATAGCATTTTACAAGGCCAATGAGAACATGAAAGGTGTAGCCATGGGAAAAGTCCCTATAATGCATGCATCCACCCACATCTTCTAGTCTTAAATCCCTCTCCAATTTTTGTGGATTCTGGTGAAAATGCACTTCATAGACTCACAGAACCACAGAATGATCTAGGTTGGAAAAGACCTTCAAGATTACCAAGTCTAGCCATCAACAAGAACTACTGAGTCCCATCACTAAACCATGTCCCCCCGTGTCCCCACATCTGTGTCCCATCCCTAAACCATGTCCCTCTGTGCCACATTTGAAGATACTAAGTTGATCTTTTGGAAAAAGCCAGTCATAATTCCACATAACAAACGAATAGCTGTACTGGATTTAACACATTAACAAAATGAGCATTCAAGTTTCAGACAATACTGGCATGGTAAAGTTTTGAGGAGGTAAAACCTACACTAGAAAGAAATTTAAAATCAGTGACTATCGAGTAAGCCACAAAAATCTTACAGATCTACACAAATGGAAGAAAGTTCAGTCCAGTAATATCTCAAATGCAGATTCCCACCAATCTATACCTCTAACATAGAATACATGCGATTAAATTATCTTTGATTTGAAAATAGCAACAACAAAAAGCCTCCATGTCAGGAAAAATGAACTCAAAGCACAAAGTTTATAGAATCACTCCACTTTCTGATATGGACAGACACGTATCTGAAATGACAAAATTTGCCTGCAAGTGTATTTTGAAGTAATAGTTCTGGCAGAAGCCAGGGAGTGCAAGAATTTCACATCTAAATGATAACTACTTTGTTAGCTCAAAAGCTCTGGTTCAGAGAACAACACAGCTGTCATTTTTTAATTTGCACATATCGAACAAGTATGTCATGCAAACAGGATACAACTATAACTGCAATATACTATGAAGATGCTTTTAGATAGTCCTTCTTCAAAACCATGCCCAATATGAAGTTATCCTAAAAGTTTCTTAACAGGAGTATTACATAAGTTCCAGTGGGAAGCAGCTGAAAGCGCACAACATTAAACAAGGCAAAACACCGCGATGGGAAAATAAGTTTCTTCCTCCATCCCAGGAATTTTAGTATCAAAATAGTATTCCACGGTTATTCTAGAACACCATGTGATATGGTATTCACTATGTTATTTAATGTATGGCCAAAGAATATTGGCCCATACAATCAAATTGATCTTTTCCAGATAGAAAATAATCTGATATAAATCAGGAAGTTTTCAGAACCTTGCTCTGTGAAAAGGTCTGATGAACATGTGAAGGGTTTATGTAAGCTAGGACTGGAGTAATTAGGCTGATCAGAATCACACATTATCCTTATAATATAGATGCAACTTGAACAAAATGTAATGTATTTCATGCCATGCCCTTCCAAACCTATTTCCACTCAGCATTATGTCACCTGACATCCTTATTATTCAGGTAATTGTTAATTTTGGAAATTTCTGCCTTTTTGAAAAAAAATAAATGTCAACAGGAAACTACTGATACTGGTAAAAATCCCATCAGATTAAAGGTGTGCAAAACTGCATACAGAAGGAGCTAATTTATTTGCACAAGGTGTCTCCATCAGATGGGATGAATTGGAAGGCTGTCTGTGATGTTTTAGCTCTTCTTCTTCAAAAGCAGACAGACAGTTTACTAGCCTAAGTCAATTTCTGCTCCTCTTCATAACTTTTCAAAGGCCATTTCACTTGACTACAGGATTTTTGAAAAAGCTCACCTGCCACTGGAATTTGCAACCTTTTTTCCTTAAATATGCAGACTTCTGTCCAGCCCCAGATTACAGTGAGTTGGAACTTTCTGTAAGTACTCCATGTTTGAAAACTGGTTGTAAATGGGCATTTGGACTAGACTAAGAATCTGGAGTCCATGGAGGTCTCTCCGTGTAAGACAACATAAAACAGCAGCTTTGCTTTAATGATGACACGCTATTGACACTGCCATTTGTTGCATCTCTCATAGGGAAGTACCCTGGAGCTTTCCTATATAGCAGCAACTTTGAAATATCATGTGATCTGAAATATTATTATTTCAAAGTTAATAGAAAGCGTTACTTGACTCCCAGAGCACTTGTTTCATTTTCAACAAGTTTCATTCATTGCATGTTCGTCCCTAGTGTCAGACACTTAATCACAAAATCACAGAATATCCTGAGCTTGAAGGAGACCCACAAGAATCATCAAGTCCCACTCCTGGCTCTGCACAGGACCACCCAAAAACCAGGCCATGTGCCTGAGAGTGTTGTCCAAATGCTTCTTGATCTCCAGCAGCTTGGTGCCGTGGCCACTGCCCTGGGGAGCCTGTCCCAGTGCCCGACCACCCTCTGGGTGCAGACCCTTTCCCTAACCCCCAGCCTGACCCTCCCCTGTCCCAGCTCCATGCCGTTCCCTCGGGTCCTGTCACTGTCCCCAGAGAGCAGAGCTCAGCGCCTGCCCCTCCGCTCCCCTCGTGAGGGAGCTGCAGGCCGCCATGAGGCCTCCCCTCAGCCTGCTCCGCTCTCGGCTAAACAAAGTAAGGGACCTCAGCTGCTCCTCATACATCTTGCCATGTAGACCCTTTGCCATGTTTGTAGCCCTCCTGTGGATACTCTGTAATAATCTAATACCCTTTTTATATTGTAGTGCCATAAACCGCACACAGTGCTGGAGGTGAGGCAGCAGCAGCACAAAGCAGAGTGGGACAATCCCTTCCCTCGACTGGCTAGCCGTGCTGTGCCCGACGCACCCTAGGGTATGACTGGCTGCTGGCTCAACTTGCTGTCAACCTAGACCCCATTCCATAGAGCTGCTCTCCAGCCTCTCAACCCCCAGTCTGTACGTACAGCCAGGCTTGCCTCTTCCCAGGTACAGTATCTGGCATGTACTCTTGTTAAATTTCATATTGTTGGTGATTGCCCAGCCCTCTAATTGGTTAAGACCCCTCCACAAGGCATCTCTATCCCCAGAAGAGTCAACACCTCCTCCCCATTCAGTGACACAAACTCAGAGCACTTTCAAGTCCTAACTTAACTGAGGAGATAACCATGAAACAAACCTCTTTCATATCTTCTCTTTTCAAACTCCCATGACAAGAAATATCATTTCATCACTCATATCTCCCCTTAATCTTGACAACACTTATTTAACCTTCAAATTAAATGAACATAAAATCTAAATCACTTAGGTGACTACTCTGTTTCAACCTTTTATTCTGTCCCCAACAATAAAGTAACTCATACAAAATTCCCAATTAATACTTGCCTCTGCCCACGTACACCATGGACCTTTAGGTGGCTTTTTGTGACAGACCAAATTGCAAAAGTGTAAAATACACTTTTTACTGTTCCATTCTCATACGATTCTCCTTTCTTTGACCTCTGGAACAGGAATCTGTTTTCTTCCTTTCTCTTTCTAAGCAATATAGCTTCATGTTACAACACCATGCCTTTCTTGACTGCTTATGCTTTTTTTTTTTCCCCATGTTGGTATCTTCGAGTCCTATTTTCTACCATTCCATGACAAACCAAGCTCTGATTTAAAATTACCATAAACAAAATATTTTAAATAAACAGACCTTTAATTCTAATGTAATTTAATTCTAATGTTCAGAAACTCTGTAGAAAGTTTTAGATATAGCAACAATACACCCTGCTATCTTCCAGGCTTATTCATCTCCTATTCAAA